GCTGGGGCGGGGGCGCGGGCGGTCGCTGGGGCAAGGCACATCCAAAGAAGCAGGACCATCGGATGTGGTTGAGTAAGGAGAGAGAACGAGTGAGAGTTAATTCGGTGCGTACGTTTTTAATGTGATGATCTTTATCTGTGTGCGTTTAGTGGGGTGGACGTAGTATATGTTGTGACTGTAGATGTGGGATTTGTTTGATGGCCGTAGGATAATTTAAAGTGGTGTATTATAGGGATAGAGATAGAGATATATACAGTAGAGATGGTAGATTATAGGCACAGAACACTTTCAGTTTGGTTTCCTGCTGACATGGAGAGACGAAAAAAGCAGCTAGCTAGCGAGATAACAAGTGCTGGTCTCGCACGAACCCGATGGTCACCCTCTCACAGTTTGTGTTTCTCAGGCTCTCGTGTTATATTCGTTTTTTATTTTTCTTGCTTCTCTCTCACACACGTCAGCTGGCTCTTTGAAAAGGAGTATATGCACACACTGACACACAGGTTCTGTTTCTGAAGGTTCACGTTCGCTTCGAAGCACTTGCGCACACACCCCGCGCCGACAATGAAATCCGCTCATTGCTAGGTTCGTGTCTTCATCAAATTACCCTCCATCTCCAAGTCGGCAGGTCCAGCCTCACTGCCTCAGAGCCGTCGACGTTGAGCTTTTAAAACGTGTTCGCGCACACTGGTGCTGCTAGCTTCGTGTCTTCATCAAATTTGAAAAAAGCATGGGAGCAGGAGAAAGTAGAGGTAAAGCAGGCTGGGGCATAGAGCCCATACAGGCCCATATAACCAATGGGCTGTCATGGTTTTCACATGTGAGCAACTAATGCCTTGAAATGGAAAAAAGGTCCATTTTAGCTCGAAGTGTCGCTGTTGTTTTATTTTCCTCATCAAACTCTAAAACCAAACATCTCACCCCTCTAAACTCTGAAAACCAGCGGCGGATCCAGGAAATATTTTAGGGGGGGCTGAACAACACTGCTGCTCGATCTTAAGTCTCAGCCCCCCTACACTATAGAACTTTGCCTAAAAATTCATATGGGCTCTACAGTAATTTGCACTGATTCGGTATGGGTAGGGGGGGCTTGAGCCCCCCCCCACTGCTGGATCCGCCCCTGCTGAAAACCATTCTATTCGCAAAAAAAAAAACTTTCAAAACCATTCAAATTACCCTCCTAGCTTGTTTTAAAGTGTTTTTCCAAAAGTGTTCTGTCCCTTTTTACTAAAAAAATGATAAATACTTGACGAGGTCATTAATCCACAGAAAATTTCTAAGCTTCTATATTTTTTTTTCAAAAGAACATGTCAAATATTTACCGGATCTTTTAACTTAAAAAGGTTAAAACCGTCTTCATAACCGCTTAAAAGTAGGAGAGGTAATTCAAACGGTTTTGAGGGTTTAGTGCCTAAGAGTATCTCCGAGAGTCTTTCTTAAACTCACCCTCTAAATCATCATTTGGAGAGTCATTTGAGCTCTCTATATCTTCACCCTGCATATTTTTCTATATTCTGTGCGCACTCTAGATAGTCATCTCCACTTTCTATTTTTAGCTAGTGAGAAATCTAGAACAGAGGATGACAATATTTGAAGATCTAATTAAAGAAGTTGTTGGAGAACGTATTTTATTAAAATCTCTATTCTTATTAACTGTGAAGAATATGGAGGGGTTCTTGGAGTTGCATTAAGAGGTTAAGATTTAGAGTTTGAAGAAATGTAGTGCAAAAGAGAGTGACTTTTTTTCATCCGCCAGTGACATGATGCATCCAAAGCGGTTTGAGACGGCCCGGTTCTTCTAAGCCCAAGCATGCACGTGTATCCGGTTCCACCGGGGCACTCTTTTCCCGCCATGTCCCTCTAGCCCAAGCCCAGTGCGCAGAGGTCAAAGATGCGTGAGCCCGCATAGGCCACTGCCCATACCGCTACCGCCACCCACAAAAGTCGAAAGCACGGGCCAGGCCCACACGCGATCCCACCCCGTTCCGTTCCGGATCACCCGCCATCCTGATCCTAATCTCTCTCCCTGCGCGGGATTCTCTAATCTTATCGTGCAAGCAACCAAGCAACGGCAGCAGCACACGAGGCCGGACGCGGCGCGACGAGAAGACGACGACGCCGCAGGGACCCACCGCTCGCCCACGTGCTCGCGCCACACCGGGGCGTGATCGCGTCATCCGACGGTGCGGCGACGAGTCGTCGGAGCCGCGTAACGATGACACGACTTCACGCGGTCACGCCGGTTTGTGCGCGCAGCGGTTTCTTGCTCCTCCCCACCTGCCTTTTTCCTTTGGTTTGGAAAACCCAAAATTTATTTTTTAGAGCAAACAAAAATTATTTTCCTTTTTGTGAAAGTGCAAATGAGTATAGATGAACGTACCAAAATTAATTTTCCCTTCTCTGAAAATTCAAATGAGTATAGCGAAACATATTATATTATAGATAGATACAGTAAAAGTCAAGCAAACTAGTGGAAATTATTACCAGCTCAAAAAGACCAGCACTCATTTTTGGAGGACATAAACGTGGCAAAATTAAGTTCCATGCTCACATAAGTTACTCATATAAGTTGCCATATCATAGGCAAAAACAATTACTAGTAATTGTATTCACACTCATTTTCCCCCTCTGCGAACAGGGGCAATTCCGAAATTCCCACACAATATTGAAGAAACTCACACGCTGCACCTGCACGTCCTCTTTTTTGACTCTTCCACGTCTGCTGTTTTCTCCCCCCTTCACAAATGCTCAAGAAAGCTGAGGTGGGCCGCCGCGCCTCCTTTTCCGCCCTCTGCCTTCCTTCCATGCCATCCACCCTCTGCTCTGCTGGTCCCAACTACCAACCTCGCCCAAGCTAATTTCCCCCACAAAGCATTAATCAATCAATTAATTATTAGTGTACTCACAGTAGTTGTAGTACTCCTGGCACTACCATTACTAGCCCTAACTATAATACTGCAAGCAAAGGACAAATAAAGGTGCTGCTGCCCATGGTTTAAGGCAAAAGCAACCATTGACCATAGCACAGGGCAAGGCAGCCTTTGCTTGCTTGCCCACTGTTCTTGCACAATTTCAGAAAACACGCTTTGCTCTCCTCCTTTTCACACTTGCACACCTCCTCTCTCTCTGGTGCTTGCTGTGCTGTGCAGCTGGTTGGATTTCTTCCAGGTTACCCCAAGAAATGTAGAATATATACCAGTTACCACCACCCACTGACCCACAGGATTAGCTCCTCCTCTTTTCTGCAAAGCTGAAGAAAGAAACCCAGCAGCAGCACAAGAATAATAACAAGAATAATAACAACCCCTGCCTGCCTGTGTTGCTTGCTACCCTGACCTGACCTGGCCTAGGAGAAGGAAAAGAGGAGGGAGGTGGTTGGTGCTGGGGGCATCAGATCTTTTAGGGTCAGGGTCTCAGGGCGGCAGCACTCGCAGGGAGGAGCAAATCGATTTCTGCAAAAGAAAGAACAAAAACAGAACGGGTGGGTAAATCTCACGATTTTTCGTTGCCGCAAGTTCTTGGATCTGAACAAGCCTGGCAAAAAAAAAAAAAAAAGCACGGCCGGGATGGGACGATGAGGACGATGACGATTCTGATATGAACGATTGAACTGGCCCTCTCACATCAGCTCAGCAGACGGATCTGTCCGTGCAAAAATTGCCGGTAAATTTCCTCTCTTCCTTGCTCCTCCTCCCCCAGCCGTTTGGACTGGGTGGGGGATCTTGTCGTTCTTGATTCTAGCTGCTGCTGCTGTTGTTCCCTTTTACTTTTCCGTGTATACGCATGCTGTTCGTTATATATGCATATATATGTTTTTCTCTTTGGAGGATAGGAAGACGAGAGTTTGTTTGCAGCCGATCCGAAGGTTAGAGCGACATGTGATGCAGATTCGTTGATCGGTGTTCTAAAATTCGTCGTTGGACGGCCGTACAGATCTGTTGCGGCTCGATTGCGTGTAGCTGTTCATAGCAGGCAACTAGGGATTAGCGCTGGAAAATTTGGGGGAAGCAAAGTGCCCTGCTTCAAGTTCAATCCAACCAGGCGATAGGGCTCTCCAGAGGATTCAGAGCCAGATCCGTTCCGTATGTGTCTGCCTTGTCTTCTTCAAATCATGGTGGATTTGGTTTTATTCGTTGGATTTTTCGTTTCGTGATTTCGCAGCGTGGGGTGCGGATTCTCTGCTGGTACCATCTCTTTCCTTTTCGTCGTGCCCTGTTGGTTACCCTGTTTGAGTTTCTGTTTGACCGGATAGCTCAGAAAAACTTGAACATCCGAGTCCGATTGGGCGTTTGGATCAGACCGCTCTTGAATTTGCTTCTCCTTCTTTTTTATTTGTGCTTTGTTTGGTGGCATTCGAGTCAGATCTGCCTGCGTGCTGTTTGATCTGATCGATTTTTCTGCATTTTGGTTGCCCAACTTACTTTGGGACTAAAACAAAAGGCCCTGTTGATGTTTGATTGATTTCAAAAAAGAAAAAAAAAACGCAGAGGTCTCAACTCCTGCATTTTCCCTGCGTGGTCTCTTCTGATTTGCGTCCAGAAGACAGAGATTCAGAGGTTCATTTCCAATTTCCATGTCCCTCCGCTATTCATTCGCAAACCTAGTGTAAATCCGAAGAGATATTGGGTGAGGAAAAGCACATCGTTCGTCGATGAGGGAGGGGATTTGGGCGGATGAGAAGAGAGGAGAAAAGATGCGTGTGCGTGCTCGCAATCCGTGTCCGTGTGCCGGGACAGCGATGCGTGCGAGGAAGACCCCGCGCTCCAATCAGCTGGCGCCACGTCGCCCTCCATTGGGCCTTTTGCCTCGCGGGCTGACTAGGCCGGCTAATGTTAAGAGAGACGGGGTCCTGTGTGGGCCGGCTATTCCAGGCCATCTGGGCATCTGGCCCATCCATCCACGTGACGGAGACTTCTCGTTTCCCCTTTCGCCCTCTCCGTTCCCGCGGCCACTTCTGCTCGGTGCTCCCTCTCCCTTCCCTCCCCTGTGGAGGCGTGTACGGCATGGGGTTGGGGGAGCCCCACGACAGGGTGCGGGGCCCGTGGAGGTCGTGGCTGGCGTGGCCCCGTGCGATTATTGTTCGTGGCTGGTTGTTCCCTCTCCCTAGTCCCTTCCCGCGTGTTTTCAGTGGTGGCCTTGCTCAGTTGCCACTCCAGCGATTTCCTGCAACAGAGGGGCATTCTGTCCACGCAGGGTGCAGAAATGGCCGAGTTGGGTGCGCTTGTGCTGGGATTTGTGCCCCGTTGCCAGTTATGGTCTTGCGGAGTAAGGAGCAATAGATGTCTTGTACTTTCATATGATTTCTCTACATTCTACTGTCTGTGGCCTGCTGCACTGTAGTGGCTTTTGTTTTCAAGATGAGTGACTCAGTGTAAGTATGACGGTGTGCAAATGCATTTGAGCTGTACCCTGTCTGCAGTTAACACAACATGCAAAAACGTTGCATCATTTCAATGATTTGGTTTGGAACAATATGAATGTGATAATGTTCCCTACTGTAATTTGCGTATATACCTATATTGAGGTTTATTGGTTGCCTTGGTAGGTTAACAGTAGGCATTTGTATACGTTTAGCTCTTTTGCCTGTCATAACCATCTTACTTTGACACTGTATCTTTTGGTTTGCTGATCGAAGTTTCTTCTTTTGATGCAGTAATGATGGGAACAGAGTGTATCATGGCCACACTCAGCGGGGATCCTGAACCCTCAATTCCTCCTGGATTCGGACCTTTCGTTGCCCTCGCATTACAGGGCATCCAAAACAATGTCAAACCAGGTGATGCTCATTCTAGTTCTGCTCAAGCAGCGCAGTGCATGGAGAAAGATGTCGAAATTCTGGAACATGGTTCGGCACATGGCCGGAGTAGCACTCCTGCTAGTACTTCTGGGACCCATAGTTGCAGGAGGTCACTTCGTAACAGGCCTCCAATAGACTATAGCCAGTTCGACCTTATCTCGGATGAAGAATCGGATGTTGAATCAGCAGAAAAGGTTTCACTTGTGTATCCTTATTTTTTGTACATGTGCGATTACCTGAATACATATGACATGGTTCTGTTTTCTTGACAGGGAGTGGGATCAGTGAGACGCAGACGACAATTACCGAAAGGAGTACTTCGGGGATGTGCAGAATGTGCTGATTGTCAAAAGGTTTGTGTAACTATGCTAAATTGCTGAGTTACTTCCAGGAAGATGTTTTTTTTGTCAGCTTATGCACATCACATCATGCAGGTTGTTGCAAGATGGAATCCATCTGGTGCAAGGAGGCCTGTTCTTGAGGAAGCTCCTGTTTTCTATCCGTCCGAAGAGGTATCTTATGTTTATCACACTGTGCAGTAGTATGACAGTACTTAGTTTATTTTTCACTAATCTCATGGTACCCTCTTGTGGATCAGGAATTCAAGGATACCTTAAAATACATTGAGAGTATACGGTCTATGGCAGAACCATATGGAATTTGTCGTATTGTCCCACCACCTTCATGGAAACCTCCATGCCTTCTTAAAGGGAAGAACATATGGGAATGCTCAAAATTTTCTACTCGGGTCCAGAAGGTTGACAAGCTCCAAAACCGTAAATCATCCAAGAAGACCAGAAGAGGTGGGATGATGAAGAAGCGGAGAAAGCTTTTAGAGCTGGAAGATAACAGTAACATTATTCACAATCAAACTGGGATGCAGCAAAACCAAGAGAGGTTTGGATTTGAACCTGGACCTGAGTTCACACTTCGGACATTTAAGAAGTACGCGGATGACTTCAGTGAACAGTATTTTAAGAAAGAAGTGTCTGGGGACTCATTGCCATCAGTCGAAGACATTGAAGGCGAGTATTGGCGCATAGTCGAAAAGCCTACTGAAGAGATAGAGGTACCAGACTTCTACTATCATGGAGTATCTATGTCGTTTGCAATTCGTAGCTCTGTTCAAACTTTAGAAATATGTCGTTTTAGATCTGGACTTGTTAGAGAGTTTCTGGTTTAGCTTTCCAGTGCAGCTCTGTTGTTCTGTATATGATTCCTGATTGCCTGAACATAGTCCTTGCACTTGGGCATGAGATATTTTTTGGCCTAACTATAGCATATTCGAAGTTCTAATATCTGTTTTTGACATATAGTCCGGCTATCTTCTAACTTATCAAAAAAAATTCGTTCTCATACAGGTAGTATATGGTGCCGATTTGGAGACTGGAACTTTTGGTAGTGGCTTCCCAAAGTTTTCTCCCGAAGTAAAATCTGATGTTGAGCATAAGTATGCAGAGTCTGGTTGGAATCTAAACAACTTGCCTAGACTACAAGGTTCGGTTCTATCTTTTGAGGGTGGTGACATCTCTGGTGTTTTGGTACCTTGGGTGTATGTTGGAATGTGCTTTTCATCATTCTGCTGGGTAAGATGCTCGTTGGCATATCTACTCTTACAATTAAGATTGTTGTCATTATCCAAATTTAATATTCATGTTCTCAGATTTTACACTGCCATGTCTCTGCTGACAGCATGTTGAAGACCATCATTTGTACTCACTGAACTACATGCATTGGGGTGCTCCAAAGATGTGGTATGGAGTTCCAGGAAAGGATGCTGTGAATTTGGAGGCTGCAATGAGGAAACATCTACCTGACTTGTTTGAGGAACAACCTGATTTGCTTCACAACCTGGTAAGCGTTTCTCTCTTGACTAGTTATTTTAAACGAGGCCTTCCGGTATCCATGCATCATTAGACATTAGTTCATAGTTAACAGAACGTAGAATAGGAGCTAATTTTTTTATTGTGTCTTACGACAACGTGTCTTCCCATGTCTCTCTCCCTCCCTCATGTGGTCCATTTATATTATGCTGTAACATCACTATAAATAGTAAACAGATTTGGTGCTGAGTAATGTTAAAAAAAGTCCTGTTCTCTCACACCTGTCTTTTTTCTGTATTAGAATTTTTTTGCCAGCAACTGAGTCACCTCTTGAAGTATCACAGTTTTCAATATATTCATGAAGTGTTCCTGTATTAAAACTAAACACTTGCATGTGCGATAAACAGTAACACCTTAACTGTACATGTGCAAGGTACATATATGGTCATCTGAATATCCAGAAACATTATGTTTTTTATTTATATGCATGATGAATATTTAGCATTATGGTGTGATGGTGGCTATATGGGATTTGGCTCTGCTGTGGCATGTGATGTTTGCACGAGTTGCCTTCCTTTTGATACATATGATATGGTGGTGCATTTATAAGATGGTAACTCCTTCGCAGGTTACTCAATTTTCACCATCATTGCTTAAATCTGAAGGAGTACCAGTCTACCGATGTGTTCAGCATGAGGGAGAGTTTGTCCTAACATTCCCACGGGCATACCATGCTGGTTTCAATTGTGGCTTCAATTGTGCAGAAGCTGTTAATGTGGCACCGATAGATTGGTTACCAATTGGACAGGATGCGGTCGAGCTTTATCGTAAGCAAGCTCGTAAAATTACTGTTTCCCATGATAAGCTGTTGCTTGGGGCGGCAAGAGAAGCAACAAGAGCTCAGTGGGATATCCTGTTCCTCAAGAGAAATACTGCTGATAACTTGAGGTGGAAAAGCATGTGTGGACTTGACAGCACCATATGCAAATCGCTTAAGGTAGATGCCTATTGCACTATTTATAAATAATGTTTTTATTTTAAAATCAGTGAAATCTTATGTAATTTCCTGCTCAGGCAAGAATCGATATGGAGTTGGTGCAAAGACAAAATATATGCTCTCCTTCTCAATCTAGAAAAATGGATGCTGAATTTGATTCTACTGAAAGGGAGTGTGCATTGTGCTATTATGATCTGCATCTTTCTGCTTCTGGCTGTTCATGTTGCCCAGAGAAATATACTTGCCTTGTACATGCAAGGCAGCTTTGTTCATGTGACTGGGATAAAAGATTTTTCCTATTCCGTTATGATGTCAATGAGCTAAATCTGCTAGCTGATGCTTTAGGTGGTAAGTTAAGTGCAATTCACAGATGGGGTGTCGCTCATCTTGGATTAAGTTTGAGCTCATGTGTCAAACGAGAAAAAGACCAAGATTCAAAGACTCTTCGCAGAGTAACTGATGGCCCCAGAAGGCCCTACATGTCTCAGGCGTCAACAGTATCATTGGCACCTTCGTTGGTTTCCAATGAACAGAACAACAATGGAAATAAGATGCTGGACACATCTAGTTTGGAAACGGATACTTCTGGCCCTTTTTCCGAGCAAATAAAATCTGGAAATGTTTCACTACAAAAGGAGACACACATGAGGAATGAGGTATCGTGTACGCTAAACAACAGTGTCAGTCCTGAAGGCCACAAAGGCTCACAAAACTTTCCAGTTCCTTCTGGTCAGTCATTTTCTTCCAATTTTGTGACAAGGTCCTTAGGTACTTCAGGTGAATCTATGAAAAATGCATATGGCTTGGCAGTATTTGAAGGGAGTAGAGAATCTTCTCGATCTGGAGACTGTATATCTTCACTTGGTGTGCATCATAACATACCACCAATAATGGTTGATCAAGGAAGCAACATGAATCCTAGTATGGAAAGCTCAAATAATTCACATAGGTTGATGGCATCTAACACTAATGCAACTCAGTGTCACTCTTACAACGACCAAATGCACGTAACACCAGAGACTAGGGCTTGTGCTTCATCAAGTCAGCCCTTTGTGAGAACTGTTTTAAGAGCACAAAGTGTATCTCAGGAAGCATCAGCTGGTGTCTTTGCTTCAAAGCCTCTCATAAATTCTTCACTTGTGAAAAATACATATGGGGGTTTAAGTTCATGTGGTGCCCATCTTGGGCATCCAAATTTTGGTAACCAGCAACCAAGTGATGGATGCCTTCAAAGAAAATCTGAATCTTTATGTGGTTCAGAAGCTAGGGGGCATCCAGTTTCAGTGGTGCAACCTTCTCTAGAAAATCATAATAGGAATGGAGGTGCACACAAGGGCCCTCGGATAGCCAACGTCGTGCATCGATTCAAGAGCTTAGTTGAACCTTTGGAAATTGGTATTGTGCTATCTGGGAGGTTGTGGTCCTCAAGCCAAGCAATCTTCCCAAAAGGTTTTTCTTTCCCTAACAATTGGCATGCCTCTATGCATCTTCCAGCTTTGTTTTAATTAGAAGAGATTTTGTTACAAGGAACTACATTTTGTAGCTTTGCATCCTTGAACGATTTTTATGTTATATGAGTAGTATTCATGGTAGGAGAATGTTTTGCTGCTGTTAATTGTTGGTTTACTACTTATCTGAGTGTCTTTACTGATATATTTGATTTTCGTCAGCAGTTTGATTTATAATTTTCTGTTTTCCTTAGCATGTTTTACCTTTGTAAACACAGGGTTCAGGAGCAGAGTAAAATACTTCAGCATCGTGGATCCAACACAAATGGCATACTACATATCTGAAATATTAGACGCCGGACCGCAGGGACCTCTATTTATGGTAAGTTTCAGCCTTTTGTACCATCTGTACATTTGTTCTTCTGTATCTTGATATATGTTGCTTGATGCATTACAGGTGACTCTGGAAAACTGTCCAGGTGAACTTTTTATCAACGTCTCTCCTACCAAGTGCTGGAGCATGGTCCGTGAGAGGCTGAATATGGAAATACGGAGGCAACTCAGTATGGGAAGAACTAATCTTCCTGCACTACAGCCACCAGGATCAGTTGATGGTTTTGAAATGTTTGGGTTGCTGTCACCGGCAATAGTTCAGGTGAGGAAAACATTCACTTGACCGCACTCTGAAACACACTACATCTCAAGAAATGAAAAACAAAAAAGAAACACTGAAGCACACCAATGTCATGAGAAGTGAAACCTGTTTTCAGGGTTGCATAATTGCATGATGATTCCGCACATGCTAGGCTTGTTCAATGTGTAGTTGTGCAGCTTGCCCTATCCTGTTAATTTCTCATCTCAAGCCACTGGTGACTGTCATTTGTGCCACTGAATCATTCCTTTAATTCTTGTCAGGCAATCGAGGCACGGGACAGAGATCACATCTGGTCCCATGTTGTCACTGAAGATCGTGATAGTCGGCCGATGGCGCCATCTCAGGCTCAGGGTCCACTGCATGCACTGAGGGAGCTGTTCCAGCGAGCCAACCGCAATGAGCTGCTAGCCCTACGGAGTCTACTGGTGAGCAACAGCAGTCTGGACGACTTCTCCAGGCGGCAGGCTGCCCAAATCCTCGACGAGGAGATGGCCAAGCAGTGGCGCTGACAGGCGTAAATACAACTTCTAATCTCTTGATGGAGTGGGATTTTCTTCGACGGGATCAAGCAGTTTTCGACACTGAGAGAGCTTCTCCTTCCGTTGCCCCCGTGCCCATTCTTTGTATTGTTGTGTCCATGCTCCATGCCATAAGATTTTGCCCCCATTTGGGTGTTCTTATGCGATCGGATGACTGACAGCTCATGCTCATCCACTGACCAGCGTACATACCGTTCTGTTCTTCCTCAATGTTAAGGGAAATAAATACTGTCTGTCTAGAAACTCTTGAGGTGTTCTTCTGTTCTTGCCGAGTAGGTTTAGTTATTCTTTTTCTAAACGAAATATGTTACCTTCTTCTTTAGTGAGCCGGCAAATGCAGGCACAAGAGACCTGAGATTTACTTGAAAGGTTGTACATCAGAATTCAGAAATGTGCGGTGCCTGTTAGCAGTAACACTAGCAGATATGAGTAATTTATATGCCGAGTTGGCCAGAGTGAGACAGTCCATGTACTTCAGGTTCTCGGCTGCACACTGTACATATATGGATGCTATGTATCTGGCGTGGTTGACTGGTTGGTGGTACTCCAATGAACCCCATCTGACTGGTCGCTGCCATGTGGGCCAACTTCACTCCGGTCAGTCTCGTGTTCTTGCAGATACTAAATGAATGTATCTGAATTCATTTCAATATTTTTCTCTATTCGATTCTACGTCTGCATTGTACAAAATTATGAAATATCCAGTATTTCACGAAGAATAAGGTGAAGGGCGGGTCTGGTGCAGTGGTGAGAGCTGTCTCACTGAGTCACCAGGTCATGGGTTCGAAGCAGCCTCTCCGTAGATTTTACGGGGAGAAGGCTTGCCTCGGTTTTTCCTTTCCCCAGACCCCACTCATATGGGAGCCTCTAGCACTGGGTCTACCCTTTTTCACAAAGAATAAGGTATAATAAATCTATTTAAAAGTTTTCACTCCACGACTAGTGACTAATTATTTAATTTTAATGTTATTAATGATGCATTGAAACTATTTAATAATATATCTATTGATAACTTTTAATATTAATTAAATATTATTAATTACAGCAGTGCTATTTTAAATTATTCTTCTATACCAAGTAACCAAAACTGACAAAAAAATGTTAGTACTACTGAAACGTGTTTAGTATTAGTCAGTACTACGCACAGTACCACGAAATACTGAATAATACTGAAACGCGACTACTGTTCAGTATAACAGTTTGTAGAATAGACCGTTGTGTTGTTAATGATACATAAATATTAAATTAATTTTAATATTTGTATAATTTAGTTTAAACCTAATATATTCATTTTTGAAAATTACTTTAATACTTTAATTTATTTATTTACTGATGTAAATCATTTTAATTTATAATTTGATGATAAATATTATATAAACAATAATTGATTAATTGATATATTTAATTATTAAATATTTATTGATAACTATATTGTTTTTTGATGAGCTATCCTTTGTCTATGGTATATATTCATGTTTTAATATCTAATTGTGCAATAAATTTGTAATTACAAAAATATTGATAAAAGCAAAATGGCTACTTGTTTCTTATTTGAATTTTTTCACTTGACCTATTATTTTATTAAATATTATCTATTATAATTTAGCTTACTTTGATATCAGATATTATTAAAGTGTACTTTGATTTTATTTTACTTTGGTTATCGATGAACTTAGTAGTAAAATTCTATTCATGTATGTTGAATTTAACAATATGCATTTTGAGCTGAACTGAGTACTATTCATGTACCGCGTCGTGCCGTGCCGTTTGAACATCTATATTGGTCATTGATCATGAACTAAGCGTAGCTTAGCTGATTCAGTTTTTTGTGGACTAGAAATTGTCCACCGGCAAGTGTAGGCGTCTGCATTTTTGCAACTTGTCAGTGTGCGCGCTGGCAGCCGATAACTAACCAGATCGAGACCTGTCTTTTGGGATCCACTTAATTGGCTGCTGGCTCTGCAGCCATGCATGATGCATGCACAGCTGCCTTCGATCTGGCGCTGATGAGGAAGAGATATATAGATGGTGATGATATGCAGATTGTTGCTAGAGCCTAGAGCTTTTCTCTCAACCTGTGTTTCTGTGTGCGTGCCTTCTGTCTGTAGCTCCTTGACTTCTGCATACTGTTTTTTCTCTAAACGTACTACTACAAAGGATAAGGAGGTCATAGGCTGTGTTTAGTTCCCAAAAACCTTCCCAAAAAGTGTTATAGTAGCCATCACATCGAATCTTGCGATACGTGCATGGAGTATTAAATGTAGACGGAAAAAAAACTAATTGCACAATTTGGTTGGAAATCGCGAGACGAACGTTTTGAGCCTAATTAGTCCATGATTGAACAATAATTGCCAAATAAAAACGAAAGTGCTACAGTAGCGAAATTCTCAAATTTCGCGAACTAATCACAGCCATATATAACATATGTATATATGGGCTCTACATCTCCGGACTCCAGAGATTCCAGAAGGCACGGTACCAATTTTGGCGTGTGTACTGTCGTTGGGCTTTCGATCGCCTCAAACCTTTTTGCATCGCCCAAAATTGCATTGTGCTACTAATTGCAGTGCACACATATATAGCACATATAACTGAGGTCATGCTGAAGGTGGTATTACATCGGAGCACGAGTTGCTCTAGCTACCCTTATTAAGATATGTATATATGCACACTAGTGATACAAAATAAGATCATTCCCACGCGCGCGTAGTTCAAGATTGAATTATAAGCAATGTGATGCTTTTAATTACATCAATCAATTAGTTATAGGCAGTGGTGAATCTAGCTAAGAACATCATTGGGCTCATCGGGGTCAATTTCGTTACATGATATAAAATTTCGTGAGCATGAATAGTAATTTAATACATGATTTACAAAATTCATCGGGGTCGACAGACCCCGATAAACCTCTTTAGATCTGCCCCTAGTTATAACTATAGGTAATAGTGCATTCTAGAAATCTTAGGACAAAATAAGAGAGAACACGTACAAAAGATGCATGTGCCCTCACTGTATTTCCTAATCAAACGTTATCATCGACATGATTAATGGTGATTGATTGATAAGTGAAAAGTATTTAATACAAAACTGTTTTCTGTCCCCTAGAATCCCTTATATTTGAGTACAATTTTTGAATGCTGGTATGTGCTATATTACAGGACGGAGGGAGTACACATCAAATGACGAACTAGTTAATTAATAAGAAAAATATATAGTTGCTTATTAGCTAGCCTTGAATTTATTTATTTGGACCTTGTGATCAGTCGAAACATTTCCAATGTATAATTTCTTTCAGCTATGGGTTAATTTAAACAATTTAATATGTGGAGACATTCTATCAATTAGGGGCTTGATGTATGCAAATTGAATGGTTAGCTGCTGGGATCTATGTAATATAATAAATGGTAGCTATATCTTCCAAATAACACCGTATTACTTAGACCTAATTCTTTTTTTTTTTGCAAAGCCTATATAAATTAAATGTCCTGAGATAAATCATCCATGTCATCTAAAGTATCATAACTCAAGCAGTTAAACTGTAAAACAGAGATATATGCATACATAATAATATAATACCAATAAGATATAATATCAAGTCTTGAACGATCTTGCCATGAGCTAGCTGGCAATTACCAAGGTTTACTCAATCCTAAACTTCAAAAAGCTCTACCAATGCGTGCCCCCCCCCCGCCTCCTTTCTCTATGTTGGTCTTTCGGTTTGAAACAAACTTCCCTCTATTAATGAAATGTGTGTCGTAAGAGCAACTCTAAGAGACTCTTTATATATTTTGGTAAAAAAAATCCTCCAATAGTTTCTTTAATTAGATTTTCAAAAATAGCTATTCTTTATTCCAGGTTTCTTGCTAGCCAAAGATGGAGGTCGAGATTGGATCTCTAGAGTACGCACAAGATATAGAGAAGCTGTTGGAAAGTGAAAATATTTAGAGCGATTTTTATTCAAATGGCTCTCCAAATGATGATTCAAATAATAAGTTTAAGAAAGACTCTTGGAGATGCACTAATGCACATTCTAGGAAAAAACAAATTGAGTTGTCAATCTCACAAAACATTAGCCATTGCATGAATAGAAAACACTTTGGGTTGTTTGTGGGAGTTGGAAAGGGCATATGATCTTATCAAATAAAGTAGAGGAGGGAACAATATAGAGGATCAGTTTTGTCTATTCCCTATCCACATATCAAAACCTTTACTCTACTATGCATGATAAAAAGGGACAAACAAAATCTAAGAAACCGATGGATTCTAAGAAAGGTTCAAGATATGATCAATCAACAACTATCTTAATAGGAATTTACTTGTGCTCCTGGAATCAATACCATATCATGATATGTGAGGAGAGTAGATGATGTGAAACAACAATAAAATATATATGTTGCTTTTCGCAAAAAGAAAGAATATGTGTATACAGATGGTGCTGCATGGTGTCACATGTAACAAGAATAGACTCTTAAAACATACACATATATACTTTATACATGGAAATGTCAAAAATTTATACAAGTAAAATATCTAGAATGATAAATGAATTTTGTACAAGGAAAATTCAAACTCTACAAACTTTGACCAACAGTTATTCAAAGTATATATAAGTTTATTAGGACATAAACCTTGCGTCAATATAGATTTGTATTCAAAGTGTATATTGATTCTTTAGCAAATGACACTACATTGTAAATGAAATTAAGGGCAAAAAATCTATTTTGTATAACATTTTTTTATTAAAATATGATTATCAATTTAGGGCGAGGGTATAAACTTTTCGCAATAAAAAACAATATAGTAAACTAATTTGGACAGTCTATACGTCATTCAAGCATTTTTTTTGCTGAAGCTTTATTTGACTTGGTTGTAGATATATAATAATATAGTTTAGGTGTGTTCTTTATGTCTCCAACACCCAAACTTTTATTTAATCAAATATTATTTAAAAATTATACAGAAGTCGTAGCTGTACTTTTAAATACAAAATCACAAGAACTGCAATATGAAAAAAATACAAATGCAGGGGCCTTATAAGCTTGAAATTTTCTTACCTCATATTTGCATCAGACCCTACATAAAGTACAAATCTAAGGCACCAATCAAATTCAGGTTTGGAGACCTTTAAGATGCCCAAGTGAAGTTTAGCGATTACTCCTACATTTTTCCCAAGAAATTTTAATCACACACACATACACATATAACATACTGTATCTGTAGTTTTCCCCCAACTTGGTTATTGATTGATGAAATGCATGCATGATTAAATCTGGATAAAAGATTGTTGCCAAGACTGTCTGTGTTCTATGTATGTATATACGACTATAATACTCCCAGCAGAGAAAGTGACAAGAAGTGAAGGCAAATGTAGCCAGATCCAGTAATTTTAACATGAATAAGGAAAGGCATAGCCAGAAGCATGAAAGCATGGGCTAAAACAGGTGCTGCCCGATTGTACACACACTGCACCCAACTGAACCAAAAACTATACGTTTTCAGTTCCTGCGTGTCTTCTACCTTTTGTTTTTTCGAAAGACTCCCCCATTCCTTGTTTCTTTTGCTTGCCATGTTTGTTTCTTCTGGTGGCCAGGAGCAACCCTTTTGGCCATCGTAGTTTTCAGGGGTGAAAATAATAGTAGGCAGCATGCATCATCTATGTGCTACGGTTCATAGCAATACCACCACAATGTACAATGCCCATGCAAAGCAAATAATAACAATGCCAAGCACAAAGGAAACTAAACATGCAACTGCAGGCTGAACTGAAGAAATATAGTATTATTGAAGTTACAAGGTATGAATTCTCCTGGAATATATAATTGACACATACATCGAGTTTCCAGAGATCGACCTTGACACACAAAAGTAGCTAGGTAAACATATATATGTTTTTCCTGGCTTTAGAAACTATATATGCTTCAAATCAGGTAGCTCCTAAGAAAGGAAATTGAAACACACACCAGCAGTCCATGAATAGATATAGTGTGATGAAGCATTATATATTTCTGTTCTGCCAATATAATGAATAGCACAGCAAGCTAGTTTGGCTGCTGGCTTCTGCAACAGAACCAAACTAATAGTTGCTTGCAAGTTGCATACAAGAACAAATTCTGAAAGATGCTACTAGCTAGCTATACAGCATTACAGCTACAGCTTTTGCCACTGTTGTTGCTAGCTGCAAACTAAACTTCTCCCACACCATGCCATGACATGCATAAGCACACAGCAGCTGCTGCTACTAGCTAGCTTGCACTGGTAGGGAATCTCAAACTGTTTTTGCAAGTAGCATCATATCCCTCGGGACGAGCATAATAACGACAAACCAATAAGCAAAACTAACATAAACTGCTTGCTGCCAATGGATTGATGAAAGCTAAATAGAACAGCGACGACGATTAATATAAACCAGCACTCACGCACGCACGGAGTGATGATTCAAGTGAATGGAACAGAGAAAAGAAAAGAGGGGGTCGAGAAATCTTTTGCAAAATGCAACCCACTGAAGAAGGAAGATCGAAGAAGGCGAAGAACAATGGCCTAGACTTGTTTGCTCTACTACCAGCAGCACCGGCGTTCCAAGAAGGAACTCCAACTCGCGCTGCTGTGTGCTGGCTAGCTCATCAGATGGACGATCAAGGGAAGGGATATAGATGGCGAATGGCGATGGATCACTTAGCTAGCTAGCTAGGAACAAAAAGCTCACGGCATGATGAACTGCGGCGACGCCGACGTGTCGGGTCCTCCTCCGCCGCCAGACGGCCCCGGTGGCGGGCTTCCCTCGGACGACGGCCCCGCGGCCGCGGCCGAAGCCGCCGACGGCTTCTTCCGCTTCTTCTTCTCGTAGCTGATCCCCCTGGCCCGCGCCTGCGTCTCGCGCACCTCGCGCAGGTAGAGCCGCACGGCGCGCGCGCCGAAGGGGTTCATCTCGGGCGTGCCGCCGTTCTCCTCGTAGGCAGCGCGGAGGCGGCCGATGAGCGCGTCGAGGGAACCCCACGCCTGGCGCAGCGGGCACGGGCACGGCGCGGGCGGGTTGGGGTGCCCGTAGAAGGGGCACACCGGCGTGTGCACCTTGGTCTTGCCGAACTGATCCATGTACTTGAGGAACTCCAGCACGTGCGCGCCGCTGCACCGCGACAGCGACAGCGGCGGCCGGTGGTTGCGCAGGTACTGCCCGAACGTGTTCCAGTCCCGGCGCTTCTGGGACTCGTACCGGCTCAGCGACGGCGACGAGCTGGACGGCGACGGCCCACCTCCTCCCCCCACGGAGGATCCGAGGGCCGCAGCGCCCGACGACGACGAGCCGGCCCCCGACGCCCCGGCGCCTCCGGAGAAGATGACGGCCGCGGCGGGGCCGAGGAAGAAGCTGTCCGGGGCTGCGCCTTCCGCCGCCGACGGCTCTTGGCCCGGGATCATGTGATGATGGTGGTGGTGGTGGTGATGGTGGTGATCCATCTCGATCCTTAGCTTGGTTCCTGCTGCGCGCGCTGCTGTATGTCACTCTCACTCATTAGCAATGCAACACAAGAAAGAAGAAGCATCATTTCTTGCTCTGATGCGAGCTTCGATCTAGTACAGATCGAAACAAAGCCTGATCTGAAAAGGCCAGGTCCAGGTGAAGAGAGGAGGAAGAGGAGGAGAGGAAGTGAGATCGATGCGTACCGGAATGTGCAGCGCCGTGATCTAGTATTCTCTGCGGCGTGTAAGCTCGCTCACAGAAGCATGCGTGGGGCGCGGCGGAATCTTGGCAGTGGTTAGCTAGTACTCTTTCTGATCCGCCTCCTGGTGAGTGATCCAGCCATCCCCATCCATCCAGCGACACCAAGAAATGCTATGCTATGCTCTCTGACGCTCAGCAGCTCAGGTGGTCAGGTCATCCTTGGGAGTCAGCATGATGAAGCTCTGGCGAGGTGGATGAACAGTTGATGGTGGCAGTGGATGCTGGAAGGGAGGGTGGGGATGGGGGATGGGATGGAGGGGATAGGTTTTTAGCCTTTTGGTTAGGCAGGCAGGCAGTGATTGAGATTTGAGGGGGGGGGGGGGGGGAGTGGATAATAGGTCTAGTAGGGTATAGATAGTTAGACAGAGAATAAGAGTGAGTGAGTGAGAGACAGGGGGCATTGAAGCAAATAAAAACAAAAGGCATTGGCTTTTCCTCTATTTTGATATTTCTTCGGATTTTTCCTACCACAATAGTTAGTATTTTTTTTTTCAAAAAAGGTATTTTATTAATTACTATATTGAATAACTACCACATCAACTCTTACTCTGGGCTAGTAATTTTAAGATATATAGGTGTTATAAATTCATGAACAAATGTGAGGCACCACTACTTAAAATTGCTTAGGTTTGCACTCTCTCACACATAATTTGCTCATGTTCTAACATAATACTAGCCCATATAGATAACTTTATTTCTTATCTTTATCCAATTATAACAGACTTTAATTTCACCTTTATATCGCACACTCATGTTTGTTTGATATATGTTTAGTTGCAACTCTAGATTGGGTTATGTCTTCGATATGAAATTGATATGCTCGTTGCTTCCTGCATACGTGTATAACAACCAGCATAGTGATTTGTTAGAAAAAAAAAACAACCAGCACAGTGATACATATTATGTATGTCTATATCTTGAGTTAGTTTGTTTTGAACTAATAATTGCAAAAGTAGATAAGTTAGAGACCTACATATATGAGTACTTTGGTGCATTTTTTATAATTATAAAAGAGGTTATTAATTAATTAAGATACATATTGATTACATGTTAGTTTTAAATTATTTTTAACAATGCAGGTTATTTATGTTATTTTTCATAATGGAAAGGTCAATGATTTAATATAGATTTGGAAACAGTAGGCTATTAGTTTTCACAATGGCATAGGCACTACCGGAATGCACAGGTTTGCCGTGTGCCCACGGCACACGACGAAGGCAAAAAAACATTCGGCAAAGACTTTACCGAGTGTTGCACTTGGCAAATACGGACCCGGCAAAGCTGTCTTTGCCGAGTGTTTTTTGTCGAGCACTCGGCAAAGACGTTGCCAAGTGCTAAACCTGACACTCGGCAAAAAAATATTTCAAAAAATATAAAAAAACCCATCGTCGCCCGCCCGCGGCTCGCCCCGCCGCCGCCGCCACCAGGACGCCACCACCACGCCGCCGCCACCACGCCCGCCGACACCACCACCACGCCCGTCGCCACCACCACGCCGCCACCACCACGCCCGCCGTAGCTGCTCGCTGGTGACAGCATCCTCGTCGGACCGCCGGGATCCCACCGCTGGATCCGGTCGCCCGACGCCGGATCTGGCCTCACCCGCCACCGTGACGCCGGATCCGGCCTCCCCCACTGCCGTGACGCTGGAGTTGACGCCCGTGACGCCGGATATGGTCTCCCCCGCCGCCAGAGTTGACGCAGACGTCGAGGAGTAATGCCACCGTAGGGAGCTGAGGTCGGAGGAGGAGCGCCGCCGCACCCGCGCCGCCCGTATCGCCTCGGCCACGCCCGCTACCGGATCCGGGCTCCTCCTCGCCCGTGACCGCTGGATCGGGAGGGAGGGTAGGGAGGGGCGTCGTGCCGGATCCAGGAGGGAGGGAAGGGAGGGGTGCCGCCGCCGACCGAATCCAGGAGGGAGGGGTGCCGTGCTTAGGGAGGGAGGGGAGAGAGGGAGGGGCAACGCCGGGGTAGAGAGGGAGAGAGGGAGGGGCGGCGCGAGGGAGAGTGGGAGGGAGGGGGCGGCGGCTGCGCGAGTTTATAAGGTGCCGAGTTTGCCGAGTGTCGAATCTAGGACACTCGGCAAAGCTAAGTTTGCCGAGTGTCAGATCACGGCACTCGGCAAACTTATCTTTGCCGAGTGCCTATCTTTTGCCGAGTGTTTTCTTTCTCGTTTGTCGAGTGCCAAACTTTGCCGAGTGTTTTTGTGACAGCACTCGGCAAATAGCTTCTTTACCGAGTGCCCGATAGAATGCACTCAACAAATATTTTAGCACTCAGCAAACACCTAGTTTCCGGTACGTAGTGAGGTGAGTATTCTTTTAGAAATTAGAATAAATCTAATGGCTATTATTTTGAATGATGTTAGAGTAATTGATGGCGAGATGTTTTTTTATTTTTATGGGATTTCTATAGGATATATATTTGTTTTTTCCTAGCACATATCGTGGGGATTAACATGGAGGCTCCAAAAGAATCTCTAATGAGTAATGGTAAGATGGTTACCATACATGATTTAGATTTTTCAGAATCAAAGTTAGATAGGTCTTTACTTCAAATTCCAATTCAAATGAAAATATTAGTATTCATTTATATCCCATGTGAAGTTCGTTGCACCATTCAAATACAAAAAATTTGGTGTCCACACTTTATTTCGTTTTTGAGGTCCCCGCAGCCTCTACATAAGATCGCTTAGTCATCAACAGTGTTCAAGGCCGTTTTACTTGAAAAGGGAAACACAAGATCTATGCGAGGCCGAGGTGGTCATTTGTTTTCAGAGGGTACATGTGCAATTCCGATCCCTCCATGCCTCCAATCTGCAGCTGCATGACATGACTGCATGCAGCAGGATAATCTGGAGTGATGGCCTCTTCTTTCTTTTGATTTTCTTGTCGATTTTTTTGCTACTTTTTAATTCTATCGCGTGGCAGTGGTGATGGGATGGTTCTTCCATATCAGTGTCGCACGGGCACTGGTAGGAAAAAATGCATAAAGGGACAGGTTGCTTATGTTACTACTGTAGACGACATGAAATATGGTACATATATGGTGCATTCACATATATTATATTTGTGCATCCCTGGTATGTACACGTATGGTGTCTGATATCCATACTTGTAGTTTTGTTGTAAACATATAGGCCAGTCAAGATTCGTCCATGCCCCACCTGAATCCCCTCACGCAAATAATTAGATTTTTCTTTAAAATGTTGTTTCTGCAATACCGTATATATCTATTATTATTTATATTCGACTTAGGAATACATATTATTTGAGATAAGATGTCGATTCGAATTATCTATACATCACTATATATATACGAATCAGGATTGGAATAGCAAATTTAGACAAAATGAAACAACAATCTAGCTTTGCATATCGATCTGACGAACTAAACGGAAGCAAGTTATAGTACCTAACTTCCATCTTTGCTTTAATCTTTAGGTAAAGCATATTTGCCTGGAGAATAATCAAAGCAAATGTGAATGAATAATATAAAATAATGCTGAGAACACCTAGCAGGTGCATGCAACATGCTCAATAATACTCCATCCGTTCCAAACAGGACACAATTCTATAATAATACCATGTTAAAGTATATCAAGTTTGACTGAATTTATATAAAAAATTACTAATATTTATCGTACTAAATAAGGTATTATTAGATTCATCATAAACATATTTTCATAATATATTTATTTAGCGTCATAAACTTTAATATTTTTATCTATACATTTGATTAAACTTTAGGCATTTTAACAGATAATGCACCTTGCTCTTTTGGACAACGCTGGTGGTTTAAGCTAGAATGTTGCAGAGATTGGTACTACAGTAATTAAATAAAAAAACATGTTAGTTTAAAGGTCACTATCTTATGCACAGTCAGAGCCGTCCCTGTCAGAAGAAAGAGAGTTTGAAAGTTGTTTGAAGAGGAGGGAGGAGGGAGGACGGAGGACAGTGACAAGTGAAAGTTAGTTCCATGTGGTAATAAATACTGCTTTTTCGGAATGGCACAGCGTAGTGTACAGTAGACCAGTACTTTCCCACGCAGCCTTTGAGCACATACGTACTATTAGCTGGATCCTAGATCTACACCAGCCCAACCCTAACTTCTCTTTCCCGCACAGATCTGTTCATTCGAATTCGTACAACAACTCACCAGTTAATTCAAATCACATGTACATACAAATCCTAATATATGTGACAATATGGGAAAGTTCTTTTAGCCTCCACAATAATCATGTACAGATCACACACTTGACGGTGTTTTGGCTTTTTTTTTTTTAACAAAAATAAAATATCTGGGAAAGCAATGATCAATTGGATAGACTCTTGACCATTTTTTAACAAAATAAAAAATCTAGCAAATCAATTGGATAGACTCTAGTCAATTAATGATTTCTAGTAAAATTATGATTTCTAAAAACTTCTGCCCGTTACAAATATGTGTATTGAAAGTATATAGACTTTAAATTTATATACGAAAGCACATAGAGTAATTGATAATTAAAGTCTATCATAACCGGATAAGATAAGAAATTGTCTAACTGACACTACTGGAAACTCGAATAGGCAAAAAAAATATTTCTCTGGTGGTGTACAGACAAAAAATAACCGACAAAACTAGGGGTGGCGGACGGCGTCAAACCTAGGGGCGCGGCCTTCGGCAACCTAAGGAAGGTGGATCTGGGGGCGGAACACCTAGGGGCGACGGCTGATGGCGGACCGTGGGGCAG